GTGGGCCCAGAAAGGCACTGTCCCGTCGCTCTGCACCAGGTGCGGCCCCTTGAAGCTGTATTTGTACTCGAAACGGCGATGTGGCAGCGGCCCGTGCGTGCCCGGGGCACCGGCGAACGCGGGGTCGCTTCCCACGACGAAATGACTAAGCGACAGCAGGAAGGCGCAGAAAAGCGGCCGAGCTTTGGCCTGAAGACCCCGCTGCCTGGATCCCGCCATCTTGGATTCTGGAAAGCGGAGGGCGGTGGGAGGGGGCGGGGCACGGGAGCTGAGGACGGCCAACAGGGCGCTTGCTGATTGGCCGAGCTCGAGGTGCCCCGAGGGCAAGGGTGAGCTCCGCCCCCCGGCCTCCACAGTGTCCGCGGGACCCGGAGCATCTGTGGGCGGGGCCACGCTGAAGGGGGCGGGCCCACGCTGAAGGGGCGGGGCCTGGGCGGTGCTGTGTGCACTTTCCTCGGCTCCAGGCCGGGTGCACCGAAGCCCTGCCTGCTGGAAGCCTCCTCCTGCTTGTAACCCGTTAGAGGGGGAATTTGCGAGCCCTAACTCCTGGGGAGCCACCACGGCAGTCCTCCACGGCTGTAATAAACCTTTCCGCTGTTAGCTGAAAGAAAGGCATTCCTTTTGCTGCGATGCCAATGGTTCCGTATCCGTTTCTCACCACGTGTTTGCAGGAACAAGTCTTCACGGGAACGGGGGAGGCCTAATCCCAGCCCGCTGAGCTCCACCGACAGGTGCCGGGCATTGCATACTGGGAACCCGCGACCCACGGGGCTGGGGCGCCCAAGGACCTATTTGTTGGTGTTCAGTGGGGGGTTTCTAGGCATTCGTCATTCGGCCTTTACCTCTCTCAACACTGAATTCCGAGGGCTAAGCATGGAGGCCCGGGAAGCCGGAGGAGCCTGCTTGAAGGGCTCCTTGGGCCCTGGGGGGGGCCAGCCTGCCCCCAGCTTCTGTGCTGTGCCGTGGGACCCTCGCGCGCGTGAGCCATCCTGTCCAGGTTTTGTTAGCGTCACCCCTGGTGTCGGAGCTCACCTGTCCTCAGCGCTGCTACGCGTCAGGCACTGTTGTGGGTGACAGACAGACATTCGGTTCATTTACAAGGAAACTAGTCCAAGGTTGTCATTTAAATATCAGGCTTTGCTCGAGCTGTTTCATTCAGAAGAAAACAGTCCTTTTTCTCAAATTACATGGCCGCCTTCTCTACAATAGCATGTTGGGCATCTTAAACGCTCTTCTCCAGGTTTTCCACAATTACAAGGCAGTGGTGAAGCCCAAAGGCTTTGGAGTCAACTGGCTGGGGCGGGGTGGGGAGGGTGACTCCTTCTTTTCCCAGTGTGGTTTTGCACAGGGCTTTTAACTTCCCGAAAGCTTGGTTTCCACATCTAGTGAAGGGAGATTTATACCAGTACCCATGTCATTCCGTTTTAAAGGAATTCAGTGCCTGGGACCCAGTAAGCTCCCAATAAACAGGAGCTATTCTAGTGACATTTCTTCACTCTTCCACTGCTAGCAAAGAGAAGCCTAACTCGGCCCCATTGAATCAGTGCCATTGTGGTTGCATTCATCACCACAACACACAGTCCAACTCTTTATTTTCTTAAGAAAACACAGCCGGTGCGGTCATACCTGGACAGTGAACACTGAAGTATTTGTTGACTTTATATTAATCTAAACTGCCTACCTTCTTTTAGGTAAGTAGCAGGCATTTTATAAATAGTCTCAGGGTCATCCCACAGATCTGGACAGAGCAGAGCTAATATGATTAATTTGGTATGTTTTCACTGTGTTGTATATGCTAGAGTAGTGCTAAAGAATTTGTCAATTATAATTAAATCTTCAATTTTATTTTTTATGTTTGCCTTTTAGTCAGTGAATAAGAAATGTAGATAAGAATTGCTTTGGATGCAGTTTAGGTTAGGAAAGGGAAAGGGCGAATGATGTTCTATTTGACACAGTATGTATCGGTATCTGTTGCCTGTGAATGAGCACGTCATGTGTGGGTTAAGCTACCAAATAGTGTTTGTCTTATGCAGTCAGTGTATGTGAAGATACTTTTCTTGGCCCTGCTAAGTTTAGATAGACGAATTGACCCCATTTCAACTTTTACTATATATTTTTTACTTAGTAAATGTAAAATTAGGGCTCTCACTTGAAAGAGGATATGTTGCTTATTATAAAACAAAGGTGTTTAACTTTTCTTTGTATATGAAAAGGTCAGCAATAACATGCCCCTTTATACCTCCATTGAGAGAAAACATTCTCTTTAATTCCTTAGAGAAATTCAGGACCCAGTTAAGAGGGAAAGGTGGAAAGTAAAAGTAGGCAGGGGAACAGAACGCAAAAGAAGAGAGAGACATGGTTGGAGAGGAGAGAAAAGGGTTCTTATCTGAACTAGGATATCCGGCACCATTTTGATTTCAGAATAAATATTTGTAGATGTTGATTTCCCAGTGAGAATGGATGATCAAAGGGAAGCTAAGCAAAACATTTAAACTGGGAATCAAAGCTAAATCTAAAGAAAGGGGATGTGTATCTAGATGGGGCACAATTGCCCACCTCCCACTACTTAATGAAGAATTGAATCAGGGCTTTTTTATCCAGGCCCTGTAGACAAAGTCTTTTGCATACATTTGGGATGTTGGAGTGTGAATATGTGCCGAAGCTCAAAGAAATCTCAGAAGTTCAAAGAAATCTCAGTGACGTGGGAGGCAATAATAAAAACTTCTTGTCAGCCACTGGCTAGCTCAGGGAGTAAAGGATTTTTCTATCTAATTCTTTCACATCATTCCAAGTTGGGACACCCATGGCAAGATGACACTGGAAAGAGACCATTGTCAATAATGAACCTCCAGCAATGCAAATCTCCCACCATACAAATGCTTCAAGCAAGTTAGGTCAGATTAGGGGTTTCTTCCTCTCCCCTCCCCCAAAGAGCAAGCATATGGTAAAACCAAGCATTATTTCAAATTCGATAACTTGGAACATGGGATATTTTACTCAAACCAGAGTTGGGCTGAAATTTGCCATAATTTAAGGTTGCTTAGCAAATTAACAGCAGCACATTAAGTCTACTTCAAAAAGCAAACAATTTTAGAGACTAGCTTATTAATTATTCAAGGGAAGTAATATATGCTGGTAATTACAGATTAGTTGGCTTGGCTGTTAAAACGGCATTGTACTTCCACTTGTTATCATGGTTACAATATGTAACTGAAATAAATAAAACTCCATTAGAAAAGTGCCTGACAGTGCTGATCAATGTATAAATTAATGTTTCATGAAAAACAATGCTGCTTTAACCTCTCCACTAGATCAAAGTGGTTTTCACCCAATTTGTTATGCCAAGGGAAGTTTTACTGTGAGTTTTAAAGCACAATTATAAATCATTTATTAAATCATCTATATCACCCCAGAAGTCAAGGCTGCTTCAATATTAGCAAGTTTACTAATGTAATATACCACATAAGTGATGGCAATATCTCAGGAGATGCAGAAAAGAATTCCATAAAATAATCCTCATTAATGGCAAGAAGTTTTAGTAATTTAGGAATAAAAGAGAATTCCTTAACCTGGTAAAACCAATCTATCAAAACCCCACAGCAAATACTATTCTTAATGGTAAAATTTTAAAAGCTATTTTTATGACAAATAATAAAGATTCTTATTATCTTTATTAATATTATTTACTATTGTATTGATAGTCTTAACTAATACGATAGTGCAAGAAAATGAAGGAAAAAAAGAATTGGAATGAAAGGGACAAAAAAATGTTCTTATTTGTATATTATATTGTTATATTATAGTCTTCACAGAAAAGTCACGAGATTTCAGAGATAAACTATCAGTGGAAATATGAGAATTATCATCTTTACACTCTAATAACAAATTAGAAAATATGAAAGAATGCCATTTGTAGTAACGACAAAAACTGTAAGTTGCCAAATAATAAATTTAATTTTAAAATGTGCAAAACCTTCAAGAAAAACATTATTTAAAGATATAATGGAAGACCTAAATAAATAGAAATATATACTATGTTCATGTTTGAGAAGACTTAAATGATCTTAATTCTTTCTCCATTCATTTATAATGAAAAGCAATTCTAATAAATGAGGGGAATGAAATTTGACCCACTGATCCTATAGTTTATGTGGAAGAGCCACAGGCCAAAACCAGCCAACACTATTTTGAAAAACACGACCAAGGGTGTAGGATTTTTTTCTATTACACAGATTGTCCTATCAACTCTACTATCTAATTATGATAATTTTTATAATGAACAAAGGATGGTATTGGAACAGGGCTATATAACCCAATGGATCAGAGTAAAGCTTATAGACACACACATATGGGAACATTGATATTTCTTATTACAGAGTATTAGAAATATGCTGGACTATTCAATAAATGATGCTGGGAAGTTAGAAATTCATTTGAAATAAAAAAATAAAATGGATTCTTATCTTTAACCTTATATAAAGTTAAATTCCAGGTGGATTAAAGATCAATATGTAAAAAAGCAAAACTATAAATCTTTTAGAAGAAAATATAAGTGAATATATTTATGACTTAAGTGTAGGAAATATTTCTTTCAAACATACACTAAAGCTCAACTTATAAGGAGGAAAGATTGATAAATTTACCTACTGTAAATTCACAAAAAACTTCTATTCAACAAAAGATACAGTAAACAAAATGGAAGAAAATATTACATACAGGAAGAATATAACTTCAGTACCTAAACCGAGCAAGGGATTAGAATCTAGAACACAAAAAGAAGTCCTTGAAATCAACTGGAAGAAAAACATACAACATAATTAACAAAACAAAGCAGACAAAGGATTAGAATAGGCCATTTCCCCATAAGGAACTCTAAATTGGCAAGAAATAAATGTTAAGATGCTTATTCCAAGTAATGTGAATTAAATTAGAGAAATGTGAATTAAAACAATGAGATTTCCTAGTCATTAGACTAGTAAAAATTTATAAGTATGATAATATGAAATATTGGCTAATATAGAGAGAAATGGGAACTCTCAGACACTCCCCTCACCAATGGCACACATTCTTGATGGAAGTCAGAGGTAAAATCTATGGTCCATGAGATGCTTCAGTAACCTTGTAATCAACCCTCATTTTTGCTCAAGCTAGCTGGAAAGGATTTCACTTAGTTGCAATAAAAATAGTGTTAAAAGTAAGGTTGCATAGCAATTCATTGTTTGCATTCATGGATTAATTATTG